ATTTCTAAAACTTTAAATTTTAAAATTGGGGGCAACAATATATTTTCATATCATGGTTAGGCATTGAGGCACCGAAACTTCATTTTTTATTGAGGTGCACCTTACTTCGATAGTATAAAGTTGACTCCTTATAAAAACCTCACCCTTATTTTGATTCCATAAAACCTAGGCCTTATAAAAACTTTATCCCTTTTTTAAAAGATGAGCCCTCATATCAAAGTGGGGTCAGGTTACATGATGCAAGTGACCCAACCTTAAAAGATGCAATGACAATACGGAACTTGTATATATAGTTGGGTTATGTTCAATATTGGCAACGCATCGTTTCTATAAGAGTGAGGTTTTATGGAAACAAAATAAAGCCTCACCTCAAATCTTTCTCCGGAAAGTACTTTCGGCAATAGAAATTTTCATGTTGGCTTTAAAATCAATTTCCAACACTGACAATAAAATTTGAAACTAAAAAAATGATACAGATCTTGTGGAACTGTAAACACTTATTTGTACGTGGACGGGGTGGCAACACTTGCCATCCCACTATAAGTGCATCACATTCAAGGATTCCATTCTCCAGTTGGCATCTATATAAACTATACTAACTCTAAGTAATTGGAAAAAGGCTATGACGATGACGACGATACACTATTTTTAGAGCTTGAAATACTAAATTTTTTTTCAGAGCCATAATGTTCAAAGTTGAGATGATCGATATAAAATTTTTCTAATGCTTGAATTACAATTTTTGAAGAGTTATGAGGTGAGTATTTACTTCTTTTAATAGGACAAAAGCCCTATCAAACTATTTTCCTTTATGTAATGATGGATAATTTTGCAAAAAAAAAAAAAATGTTTTGTGCGATATTCTTTTTTATAGAAGTTGTCATATTTTGTCATTACATATTAATGTAGTTTTAGTTTGGTCTAAAGTGAAGTACCTTTTGTGTGTAGACCCTATCATGCGTTCATTTTTTTCAAACGAGAATTCATCTGAAGGTTCCATTCATCTCTCTTTGTTCCTCTCTTCATGATGCCAAGAGATAGAATGCTTCAATTTCTATGAAATCTATTATGGTATAAGAGCTATTGTAGAGTGGGCAAAGATGGTTATCTAATTTTATTCATTACTGCTACCGAAAATCCTCAATCTTGAAGAACAACCACTAAAGAGGGCAAAATCACATTCTTTTTCATATCTAAGTTTGAGCAGTAATGTTAAAGTGCTAATCCTCTGCATATTTGTAATTCTCTTTGTAAGTCAGTTCCACTTGATGGTCTTAACTTACCAGTATTTAGCCTACAACACATTTCTTCTCTTGCAGCCACGACTAATTCTTTACTTAAATCATCCTCTTATTCACAGACATCTAATCTCTAATGCTCTGTATTGCTATAAATATGGAGATTGTAGCTTTAGAGGTGAATCACAATTGGGATTTGGTTAGAGACACGAACATGCAATTGATAGCCAATGACTTTAGAAGGCTAAACCATAGGTTGAAGCTTGACTGTCACATGGCCCAATTTGTTGCTCAACGATGCGCAGAAGAGCATTAAATTGATTAGGAAAAACTTTTGTTTCTCTTGCCTATACGGCTATCATTTGAACTCTCTTGCATTGGCATCAATTCATCAAGTCTGTTTGAAAGATGGATGTTAAGACTGCCGTCCACAATAGAGACCACTGAGAAGAAATTTACATACGCCAACCACATGGGTTTGGCACTCAAGATCCATTTTTGGTATGTCAACTTCGTAAGGCACTTTGTGCTCCTAAATAGGCTCCATGTCCACGGTCTTGAGTAATTTCAGCTTACCACTCTTGCAACTAAGGTAAGCATGGGTACTATATATTTGTTCAGACCACTAGTTGTGGCATTCACATATTGTTATTATGGAAAAAGTTTACATAGAGCGAGCTTCTAAACAATCAAATTAGAGCCCACCTAAAAACCTTCACTAGAAGAGGTTGTTTTGATGTTCAAATATCTTCAACTTGATCATCTCGACATCAAGATGCATGGACATGAGAAAAAAATAGTTTTCAAAGTCTAGAAATAGTGCATCTTGTAAGGCATTTTTGGATTGTCAATTTTTATGATTTTCAAGTTTTCATAGATCTGCACGATCTACACTATTTTTGAAGCTTTAAATTTTATAATTAATAATAAAAATATATTTTAAGGCCATCGCAAAGATTGTCAGTATAGAAACCACATTTCTCGACATTATTTGAAGGTGCGCTTTACTTTGATTGTTTAGAGCTTCGACTCTACACAAACCGCACCCTTATGCTAAATATTGATGATATTCTCACCTTTGGACACAACCACACCTCAATTAATGATGGCAAAAATTATGGAGTACAACCCAAATTTGAGCTTAATATGATGTCTCAATAAAATAAAATAAAATATATATACAAGGGAAATTTGGTTATTTTGTTGCCACATTTTATTTAAGGTATTGCATACTATGAGACGATTCTTTTTTAGTACAAGGAGGTCAAAATCATCCTTAGCCATCGGCTATTAAATCTGATAGCTAGGGGTGCATCACTTAGTTCTAGAACTTTTATTTTGATTTCTATGCCCAATCGATCATAAACCTTTAGCCACCCGATTTTACAACTAATAGTCATTAATAATTATGAACTCCTTATGCCAAAAATAAGCGGTAGTCTTGTATATTTTTCTATTTTTTAAAAAGGTACTTGAGAGATCAAATTTAACTCCTAATGTCAAATGAGATGATTTGACAGATGATTTTGTACGGTAGTTTGACCATTTAATTGATATTTTTCTTAAAATAATCCACTTATTAATTATATAAGTTTATTTTTTTTATAAAAATATTGTAGAATGAAGTAATTGGAATGGGACAAGTAGTGAAAGTTAAGATTAAAATTTAAGAAATCATACACCACAAGACCATTTACCTTTTGGTATATCGAGAAGTCACAATTCACGTTAGCAGTTGTTATGAAATCTGATAGCTTGAGTTGTTATAAAGTTCCAAAAATTGTTTTAGATATTTGAAATAAATAAGGGGTATACTTCCAACCACTCAATTTTCACATCAATTGGCCAAGAGTGATTGTGATCTCCTTGTACCAAAGATACAAATTTGTTGTATATTTTTAGAAAAAAGTCTATCTAATAAGTTATACCAAGGAATTCCTGCCAAAATAGGACTTCCAAACAAAATACCTAAATAGCTATGTTGAAGAAAATAAAGAATAATTTGAGCTTTAAAAATAAGATAAACAGGAAAATAAAAAAAATGAGCATCATAAAATCATTGGGATCATGTATTCCTGCCGAACATAATTTTTTTTAATAAATATCCGTTTTCTCTATAAAAATATAATCATTTTGGACGCTCGAAGAGTGCGCATGCAGCTTTCAATGGTCTCATATTGAACCTAGTTTTATTCAATGGCCCAAAAAGAGTTTCCCGATTTACAATTAATTTTTATTGAGAATGATATTTATTTGAATTTGAGGTAGAGACATATTTTTATATGGCATATAAAATAAAATAATAAGAAGGTATTTTGAAAAAAAGAAATTATCCTATAAGACTCTCCTCCATCCATGTGTGTAGGACCCCAAAGGATCACCATTAAATTTGACACGGATCTATAGAAAAGTCAAGTCCCACACCTATGCGATAATTTTTCTAGAGATCCATGCCAACTTTCATGATGATCCTTTGGGGTCCTACGCACATGGGTGGGGGAGGGTCCTATAGGATCATTAATCTTTGAAAAATTCAGCTGAAATACCCGTGAAACTATTTACAGATGTATTTTTGTCAACTCTTTTGCTAAAAATATTTTTTATTTATTTTATTTTTATTTATTTCTTCATATAAATACATATTTATAAATTAGAGAACTATTAATTTTAACTAAAACAAACATAAATATGAAACTCTTTAATAGGCGTTGGATGTGATCATGTTTAACCGGTGCCATTGAAAAGGGTTCCACTGCACCCTTCCCACAGCCCACAAGACATGGACGAGACTTCCCCATAAAATGTAACGGAATAAAATCGACACCAGAAAATGACTCGCATGATTATTGGGTCATAAGATGACTGAGAGTGGGTCCCACCACAAAATATCACTAATTCTTTATTCCAATATCCGGCCAGCATAGTTTACACCACAATGACTCTGATCATAATATTGTCCGGATCACATGGATCATAATATGCTCCTACAATGCAAATCATGCAAACTAAGAGCAATCCTTAATCCTAAAGGATAATAGTGTTTCAAAACTCAGATTGATAAGATAAATCACTCACCCACAGAATAAAATCAAAAGGTCCGACTTGTATAAGGTGTTTACGCCGCACCTCTAAATCTTGCTAAATGATAAATTCGATTGCCGAAAATCATCTTGGTTGTCTAAAAATCTATTTGACCATTAATTATGAAATTTAAAGTCTTAAAAATAGTGTAAATCAACTATCAAGCATATTTACAAACACTTACAATTTTTTAAATGGACGTTGTAGATAGCATACTGAAAATGTCATAGTTTTAAAACTTGAAATCCATTTTCTTTTTATGGACATTCATATCGAGATTGATATGATTAATTATAGGATTTTTCAACATCTTCGACATTACCTTATGATAGTTTAAGATCGACACCTTATATAAACTTTTTACAAAACCAAAATACGTTTTTATTTATTTATTTATTATTTATTTATTCATTTTTGTTTAAAGGGGGGAGTGAGCTAGGGCTCAAAAAAATATTATGTAAATTTTTTTTATAAAAAAAGAAAAAGAAAAAAGATTTAAGAGGAACTCATTTGGGACCCATATCATCATAAAACCAGTTTAATCTTTACTAATTACCCATCCAAATTGGGAATTGCTAGGTTTTAAAACATACATTGGATTCAATAGAATTTTTCATGAATAATTCAACAAGAGAGAGAGAAAGAGAGAGAGAGAGAGAGAGAGAGAGAGTTTTCTCATTCTTGAGCAAATTTCACCGCGAACACACGCACACGGACCATTTACTGATTTTCAAGCAAATTTCACACCAACCTTTGATCAGTGGAAATTCAACCATGCCAAACAAAACCAACATTTTCGTTTCCTGCACTTCACTCATTTACATAAAGAATGTTACCAAACAAATCAAATCTCTCTCTCTCATGCTGGTTGTGTCCCGTTTTTTGGAGCTGTAAGGGTGAGGAGGAGCTCATTCCAAGCATCCGGAACACCTGGAAGACACCAATGGCTGCAATCAGGCACAGACGGTGTGTCACTCCACTTTCCCAAATGAGCATCGCATCGCAAGGCAGACATGTACGTTATGTCAAGAAGTTTAACAGGTGCTTTCATGCCGTATACAACCTCTCTTACAATTGAGGCAAATGGGTTTTGATCGAGACCTTCGGTTCCTGACATCGGATAGCTTGTCAATCGGCAGGATCTCTCTGAAGCAACATCTCTGAAAATTCAGATGCAAAAGTCAGTTGTGATATCTGTTTCCATATTCCCAATAGATACGACAACAAGCCTAAGCAAAAAAAATGATAACAATGCCCTAGTGTTGAATAAATGATAAAATGCCACAAGCAAAAGAGAAAAAATTGAGCGCGTGTTGAAGTTGGACGCTAGGTAAATGAGGTTACATAATGCTCCAAGATAAGACTTTACCCTAGGGACTGAATGTCCGATATGCTCCCCAGGGAACGTATATTCTTTTAGCAGAGATAAAATGAATACTTGCATAAAGATAGAAGCAGAGAGACAAAGAAAATTTGAAATGCACTATAACTGATTATATTTCATCACTATATTTTACAAAGACAGACACGTATTAAAAGACAGCTCCAAAATTGGCCTATCAGACATAACACGTCTCTGCACAATTTCGAGAGGAGAAAAGATGGGAGATATTCTAAATAAAAGGGTAAGAAAAAGTGTCTATATTCCAAAGCACAATATACGAGAGTGCATGTCTTGGCAAGTTAATGCACACCTTGAACCTTAGCCATGGGTATTCAAGTTAACATGATTCTCACTGCATAACTTAGGACTCAAAAATACCTGAAATTAGCAACCATGAAATGAACTCAGAAGTAAGTGCATGCGTGAGTGCGCGTGGTGGTACGAGAGAGAGAGAGAGAGAGAGAGAGAGAGAGCACCTCCAGTGAGATGTTTCAAATGTCCGAAAAAAGACATGGGTTCGATTCATGTTGATGTTTTCTTTAGCCCATGAAGCCCATGTTGTTATGGCGGTTTGAAAGGCAGTGGTGATGGGCATGCCGAGCTTCAGAGTGTCACCCACCTGGAAATAGTTGCCCCTGTCTGAAAATCCGTTTCAGATTCACAAATTGCAATATGTTTCAGATTCTGGTTTATTTAGATCTGTAAGAAGCTAGCAAAGAGAAAAGAGTTCCCTATGTGATAAATAAAATGGCATTTTCCTTGTCCATGTCCTTTCATACACAAGACTTCCAAGCAAGAAATGTTAGTTTGACATAGGAAACTACAAAAAAAAACAAATTCCTAACTTGGTGGAAAGCTCATAATCATGACATCTCTCTTTCTCCGTCTCTCTCGCCAGCGCTCACATACGAGCAAACACACACACACACACGTATACACACCACTCTCTTGGAACAGATTATTGATGCCCTCTCATTAGCCACTAGCTCATAAATTGAATTCCGTGTCTCAAAATGCTTCGCATTTCAAGTTTCTTATGCATTACTCAGTTTGAGGCATATTCTCAATTCTAAAGAGAAATTTCAATTTCAAACTCAGGATCAGTGAACGGTGCATGAAGGCACTTCTTGCAAAAATAGGCCAAGTGGTTCTTATAGGGACTCCAGAAATCTAAAGGTGGATATTTTTTCCTCAAAGGGTTGCCTCGTTATCCAAACTGACCAGCCTCAGGGGCCATCTGCCAATTGAGAACCCTAACCCCAGTCTTAAGAGTTCATTTTGGGCTCAATGTCTGACTGGGACGAGCTTGGAGTTAAATTAACAATGACTTCCATTTTATTTTGTTTTGCATCATCTCATTGATATAAATAACCATGATTTTAAGTCTTCTGCATCAGTTATTGAGAGGACTGACTTGGACCAAATTGGGGATAAAGCTGAGCACAGCATCAATTCTAGCCCAGGTTTAGTGGAAGTGATTTATCTTATTTTATTTGTTTTCTTATGATCTTTAAGTGTCTTGACTCGTGACTAGTACTAGTTATTGTGAAGACACACCTGACAAGGTTCTTTGAAGATGGAACATACACCTATTTGAAAATTTCTAAAACAGTTATTGCTTTTCAAATAAAACTTGTCGAACTTAAGTACTTCAGATTTATTTTGAAGTCACATATCAAAATCAATTTCTCACTTTAGTTTCTAAATGAGGCACATAGCAAAAACCGGATTTTGAAACCACCAAAGACCGGTTTGTAGACAACAGCTAAATTACATCAGAAAAAGAGGCAATGGGATCTTTAATGTGCATTGAGAAAGGAAGCAGCTTGCGTTTGCCCAATTGGCAAAATTCACGTCTTAGCAGAGATTGAATAGAACCGTAGGATACCAGATCTCCATGTTAACCTACTTTATTAACTAAATTATACGTCAGATCTCCAAATCACTTGGGTCAAACATAAATGAACAATCTATTGAGAGGATATTTTCCAGAATAAATAAACATGTGATCCTTTTGAGGCTTAACACAATGAGAAACTGAAGTTACTTCAAATTTAAAAAATCAAGCCCAACTCTTTGAAACTCAGATAAGAAACTTGATCAATGAAGAATGCCATGAACTGCAAAATATATGTGAACATTGGTTAGCATCATTTTTGGCAGATCTTTATGGTCCATGTTCAGGTGAAAACATCATGCCTTGGGCTTCTAAGTACAAATAGCTTGAAGGCTCTTCTTAGCAACAGAAGCATTTTCTTTTTTTTTAACTGTTTAGCAACAGAAACACTCAGCACTTGCATTGTACATAACCGGCTATAATCAACTGATCATTGCAAAACATTTGTTTTATCCAGGAAAGGGTTTTTTTTTTTTGACAAGGTTACATAGGAATGGAACTTGAGACATTGGGCTATGAAAACCTAGCCTCTACCGTCTTGACCCAATCCCGAAACCATGAAAAATGTGCAAGTTTGGGCCCATCAAAAATTCAAAGATCTCTTCTACAGTGTTTCAGATAGGAGGGATTTGGATTATACAGTAAATTTAGTGTTTTCTGAACGAAACAAATCGTTCCCAAAAAAAAAAATAGATATGTAAAGAAAAGAAAGGAACATGAAGGATACATGGGCACGCAGAATCAAAAGAAAGATAGGGATATAGAAAATGAGTCAGGTATATAACAGTAAAACCAAAAGGAAAATTGTATGGAACATTGAAGTATGGGATAGTTGAGTTTATGACAGTAAAGTGAAGAAAACAAAAAAAGAAAAGAAGAGAAAGTGAAGTGTGGATTAGTTGAGTGTATGACAGAGAACAAAAAATGGAAGTCAAGGGACTTACAAGTTACAATAGAGCTAATCTGTAGTACTGAAGTGAATCAAGTCATGCAGGAATTTGCTGCAATCAAGCTGAAAAAGGGGTCCAGTCCAAGATCTAATAATAGTAGCGATGTCGGAACCTATGATTGCTTATATTTTCAATGAACATGATGCATAGGATGGAATTCTTTGACCCTCTCTGGGCTCTCATCTGAACCTGATGGTTCTTCATAACAGGTTCCCAAAAACAACTAAGGAGCTATTTATTTTTCTGAAGATTTTTGGCTGAAATGCTTCACAAAAAAATGCCCAAATAATAAATTTTACACCCTAACCTAGCAATGGATCTAATAATAGTAGTGATGTCCGAACCTATGATTGCTTGTACTTTCAATGAACATGAGGCATAGAATGGAATTCTTTGACCCTCTCTGGGCTCTCATCCGAACCTGATTGTCCTTCGTAACAGGTTCCCAAAAACAATTATGGTGATATTTCTTTTTCTGAAGATTTTTGGCTGAAGTGCTTCAGAAAAAAATTCCCAAATAATAAATTCAACACCCCGAACCTAGCAATGGAAGAGGGTTTAAAAGGGGAAAATGCTCTTTTCTTTCAGCAAGTAGAATATTATGCGTCAAGCCTTCTTCCCTTGCAAGGTTAATAATAGAACAACAAAAACTATCGTACATGTATGCCAAGAATAAGAGACCATGCTATTTGTTTCTGGCAACTATGCAGCAGGAGCTCATTTCATCACAATACATTGGCATGACAACTTTGAGACGAATGAACTAATGTAGCTATGAACTAGGACATAATTCAGACTGTCTAATCTCACATAACTCCAGACTCAACACCTCAATAGGAAAAATTGAAAAATCACATAGTCGTATTGTGAAAAGATTACTCAAATAATCTTAACTTTACCCATTCCACTTCCATTCTACATATCTTCATTCAGAGTAAGGATTAAAAGCTAAACTAGTTATTATCTGAGTAAATAGCAAAGACATGATTTTTCTATCAACTTGACTCAAGTCAAATCGGCAACTCCTTACATTTCAAAACTTTTAGTGTACTATTAGGCACGCAAGCCACCAAAGATGAATTTAGCACCGCTACACCACAAATTTCTTCAAATTCAACTAGAGCTAATTTTATCAACATCTAAATAAGAAAGAACAGTGACACAAAAGTGGTCAAACTCAAATATTGATCACCTTGGCCAATTTCATCTTGCAAGATATCGTTCTTTGTTCCCCTGTTCTAAGTTTTCCCATTTTTTTTCCCAGTTTCTCTACCACTAAAATAATTTCACTAATAAAATACTTGCAACTAATAAAATACTTGCAAGGTAAGTTGAAATTTTGTTCGCTACATTAGAATAAGTGACCCTGCAAAAAATGATAAAATTAGGATGAGAGAGGAATACTTACACATCAAATGTCTTCATATGTGTCCACCACTGCCCTGAATTAAAAATCAAGAAATCAGATTGAATCCACCTCTTGCTAATAGAATCCAATCTGTCCAGCTTAACAGTCGATTTGACCCTTTTAGGAGCATTCTTTGGTGGGCTGCTCCTCTGTACAAGGAAAGGTGATCGAAAATATTCCAGGGTGATATTATGGGACCGAAACCTAACACCCAAAAACCTGATTTGCTTTGTAATTTTGTTCCCATTCACTTCATATACAGAGCGTTTGTCTTCTACACCAGTCATAAGCAGACAGATAAGAGACTCCCATTGTGTCCTGCCCATTGAATCACCAACAAAAACAATCCGTAATCCCCGAAGCCTTTGTAATACACTTTGTACATCAAACCTATACACACCAGGTGATCAAAGTATCAAGACGGAGTGGCCCGTACATAACATATGACAAAGAAAATTCTTCATTTTAAAACAACCAAATTCCAGCAAGAAAATGAAATGGAATACAACGACCATGAAGCCCATAAAATCAAACAAAGAATGGTTCATCTCAATACTGCATGTTGCGAAGGAAAACATAATACTTAGGCTTTTGAGATTGAGAGAGAAAAGGGGAAGGAAGGAAAATTATGTTTCATTGTTAGAAGTTTTACAGCATGAATTCTGGCATTTATAAGGGTGACATTAATTAATCTAAATTGGGTTTGCCTCATAGATTTACTAAAGAACCAATCTTCAAACCAGTATAATATGAAATTCAAAATCTGGATTGATCACTCCATTGACAAAATTAAGGAAATAGCAAAAGAACTATGAACCTAATTACCAAAATGCAACAAAATGGATGAAAGAAATAGAGGTAAACTGGGAATAAAGAGGAAATCTACTAAGTTACCTTGGGATATCACAGTTATGAGGCTGCCATCTTAATTTCATGTATTCGTTATCCGGCCGCCCATTTCTCTCACAATTGAAACCTCTCTCGACGAATGGGCAAAGAGAACTATTGTACAATGGGTAACTTTGATCAATAACCCAGCTTCCACTGAACACATTACAGCTTTTATTGCTTGCCCAATATCCAAAGATCCCATCAAAACTTTTCTGCCCAATGGTTGGAAACACATGAATATAATCTTGACCTAAAATTATATAAGTTGAAACAACAGAAAAAATCACCATCAATAGGTAGAAAGATCTCGAGACCCAGCTCTTTCTATGCACCGAAACCCGAGAATTGAAGCTTTTTCGACCGACATTACTCATAGGAGTCTTCTGTTCCGTTGCTACATGAGATCTCGGGCTAGTAACAGGGAGACCCATCATGAATTTCACGGAAAAAAAAAAAAAATGCCCCTCCAATATCAAATAACAATACAAAACTCTCTGTAACTCAATTCCAATGGTTTTACAAGTCTTAATTCCATTTCTAAGACAATAATATCTATAACATCAAGATTGCTTCGACCCAATAAACAAATCATAAAATTGTTGCAATACAATGCCTAATAAACAAATAAATCATGGCAACATTCAATTGTCAGTAATCACCCATTCATCTATTATCTTTAAAATTTTTTCGTCCATATGGAGCTCTTACGAACACTGGTAAGGCAGCCTTAAAAAATACTTTGCAAACCAACACCCAATTTGCACAATTTCAGAATTAATTCTATTGATTCCTCTTCTCTAGATCTGCAGTTTATTCCTATATCTAATGTACGAGAGAGATTGAAAAGAACCTAGAAAGCAGGAGCAGGGATGAAAGCTCTAGAGCAAGAAATCAAGCATAATCCCATCATTAAGAACAAATACTAGGTCTATCTCTAGATCTGTACTGCATAGAACGAGTTAAAAGGAAGAGAAAACCATGGAACCTTGAAAAAGAGAAACAGGTCCAACAGAAAATCCTAGAGAGAGAAATTACAACCTAGAGTAAAAAAGCTGGGTATGTGTCCATGAAACAGACGTAAATTGGTTGCGAAAATTAGGTGCAACCATTGAATTGAGGAAATGGATTCGACGCTGTTTATTCTCTTTTGGGTTCAAAAACCCTAATTTGGGTTTTCAGAGGGAATTATTTCTCTCTGAGTTGGCAGCCATGAAACAAGAGGAAGGATTGAGAAATTCAATATTATTATTAGATTTTAGGGAGAAAGACACACCTGTGTTGAAATTACAGTACAACTTCAGTGTCAGACAACAAATCTATGTTTCGGTTGAATCATGAAAAACTAATTGGCTCCTATGGAATGCTCTCGTGGGATCATTGTCTACAATAACTCCTTCAAACAAAATAGTTACTTGTAAAAAACTTTATAGTGGAAATTTCATGCATCACTAGAGGTAATATTAATGACAGAAAATATTTGGATTTTGACTTTATAAACAACTAGATTTTCCCATTAGATAGTTCCTAAGAAATTTTGAGAAGTCACTCTTTTTTTTTTTTTTTATCTTTTTTTTAAAGTAAATTATCATTATCTTCATCCAAGCCTTATCCTAATAATTTAGAAAAATCTATGTTTTTTTTTCTTTTCTCTCTTAAACCATTAATTGTTTGGGTGCCAGTTGCCTAAGGCCGAGACCCTAAACAATCAAAGTAAAAGGTACCTTGAAATAGTATTGAAATATATTATTTCAATATTGAAAATCTTTGTGATGGCCTGAAAATTTATTGTCATCTTTAATTATAAAATTAGGAGCTTTAAAAATAGTGTAGATCGGCCAGATCTATGAACACTTGATAATCTTGAAAATTGACGTTCCAAAAAATTCATTACAAAATGCACTATTTTCAAGTCTCGAAATCAATTTTTTCTCATGTTTATGCATCTTGAGGTCGAGATAATTGATTTGAGGATTTTTGGAGCATCAAAACAACCTCTTCTAATGAATTTTTTAGGTGCACCTAAATTTAATTGTTTAGGGCCTCACCCTTGTATAAACTTTTTCCTAATTATTTAAGTCTTTGGTTCCCACAAATGACAAAAAAAATAGTCGTAATTGTTTTTCCTAATTGTTTAAGGAGACAAGGTGATCTGGGTGCTCCAGGGTAAGTATATTTTGCCTACACTTTTTGTACATATTTACTTTTTTTTTCTTTTATTTTGAGAGCATACCTGTAATGTGTATAAGTGCTAAAGTTTCTAT